CCCCCACCCCCTCATCCCCAACCAAGTTTTCATTCTGCACTACTGTTGAACTCTCTAGGGCTTACGCCGGGGCATGCCCCACTGCCAGCCAACCCACCTCACTGGTTCTTCCCTTGAACTTGGATGGAGTTGTAAGCATAGCCAGAGTAGGAACTCATACAATCATTGACTCTAGAAACCTTGCCATTAAAAACAAAAATAAACTCTGCTATTGAGTCCATAGGACACATTAATACTTCTACAGTTTCCAATTTTATTCATGACATTTTAAGAGACATCTGGAAATTCTTTACAGTGTGGCACTGCCCCCACCCAGCCTGAGAGGAGCTAGATCAAAGCTGGCAAGAGCTCTGCCCACCATTTAATAAGAGCTTCAGTATCTGGCTGCCAAGGGCATTCCTAATTTTTTTTACACTAGCACGGATGCTCATCTCAGAGGCAATGACAAGTATGAGGGTCAGGCTAGTTTGAGGTAAAAAAATCCTTTTTGAGGGCCAGGGTGCACTCATCCTGGCTGGCTACAGCAGCAAGTAAACACGCCAGCCAACTACAAAGGGTTCCTGGAAGAGGACTCTTAACTACTTGCCCTGGGAGAGAAGCAGGCCCATTAAGGTTCAGTTAGGAGACCTTGGGTTTGATTTGGCAGCATCTAAGTCAACGTCTACCTGGTTCTTATTTTCTTCTCTTTAGAATGTTTCAATTTAATGTAAGATGCAACTGAGACATTCATCTACTCCCAATATGTAAATAAATTAAAGGCAAAGGGACATTTCCCTCACAATATTGGCTTACGCAGCAGGGAACTCTTGTCTTTAATAAAAATCTCCTTAAATACTTTAAGTGTCTAGTGCTGCTGCCTCTGGGTACCTGAGGTGTCTGCGACTGCAATGGGCACCTCCATGAGTGTGTAGCTCAGTGGAGACTCTGACGTTGGTTTCTTTTATCAATTTGATACATGGGTGTTCAGCTAAGTTAAGCACTTATTTCACAAAGTCCTTAATCTGCCTAATAATCCTTACAATATTTGGTATAAAACTATTTTAAAAATTAAATTTGAAGCTCTTTTAATTTTCCATTAAATGTTTGTTTATTAATAAGTATTTCCCCTTAGACAATCTGAGGGGTGAAGTAGATGCTCTCTAGTATTCTTCTCTATTTTGTAAGTTTTTCTTTTTCTAGAATAATAAATATAGGATTCAATGAAAGATGAGGCATGATTCATAGTTTCCTTTCTGTTTTATTCTCCTTGGTTTTTTTGAGTTACTGGGCTTTTCTATTGCCACGAAAAGTCATTACCAATCATGCCGACTTTAAAATGTGGATCTCAAGAATACGGCTTCACATCAGAGCCTCTGGCAGCGTGGGCAGCTGTGACACTTTAAAACAGTGTCCAGGAGAGGGTGAGCCCAGGCAAAGCTTATACAAAGAAGCCTGCAGTAGACAATATAAACCAAACAGCATAAAAAATGCCATACGCTATCGCTTCCAAATAAAAGCTAAATATTACAGAAACCTCACAGTGTTGGAAAAGCAAGTTTAATTTAAAATATAGTCAACTCCTTCCCTATCAGGGTGAGCCATTTTTTGTCTGAATTTCCTCCATGTCTCAGTGCTACCTGGCAGGTCCTATGGGAGAGTTCATCGCAAAAGAGGTCAACAGCAAATGCTACAGATCTGTTCGGGAAATGTGGCTCATCAACATTGCGAAAGCTATGACCCTCATTCTTTAGCCTCACTTTCCCCACTTCCCACCCCTCCCCAAACTCTCTTCCATGTCTACTCCCTTCAAGTGACAACTGTACTTCTACCTGAATTCAAACATTAATATGCTATACTCAGTCAAAAGATGAGCATTCATAGTGACAGGTTGAGGCTCACTGCAGCAACCATAGCAACGAGAGTTAGGGTTTGCTTTCGCTTTCACTGGAGAGTCTAAGTGAAAGATTAAGAAGGGAAATTCATCCTCAGGGACACTGTCTATTGAAAAAAAAAAAGGAAAAAAAAAGGGAAATTCAGTGGTGCCTGATGGGGAGGTTTTGTGTAGGCAATTTCGTTCTATTTAGAAACCGAGCCAATTTAAAAAGAAAGATGTATTTCACTAGTCCTGGAGTAAAAGGGCACTCTTGCTTTTTTCTCTGATGGACTGAGTATAGAGGGGTAAAGCAACAGTAGGGATTACCAGATTGGGGAGGAAACAGGCCAAGGCCATCAGCAATAAACTGTTCGGACATGTAGGGGTTAGATTCCTAAGCAGTTCCCATACCCTAGGAAAGCAAAAGCTACCAAATCTTGTGAACATGAATGTTTTGCTCTCCAGGAGCAAGAAAGAAGCTGTAGGTTAAGAAGCTGCGTGCTATACCAAGGTGAGAACAGGTGACAGGCATTCAAATAAGCCCTGGACCACTGGCTATCCCTGCCCACCCTCAACTGAGTTCTGAGAAAGCCTCAGACAACTGATCTAAGGACCAATTTGAACGAAACCATGTGCTTGCCCTAGACCTGCACCAGGAATCTGCTACAGTACTGGGATAGCCAGAAGTGCCCTTTGGCTCAGCATGCAACGAAGAACATATGCTAGTCTATTGCTTCTTTATATGAACTGCCCCTTCTTTGGAATGAAGGAGTATTCATGCCAGTCTCAAGAGGTTTAGAATGATTAAATTACAGCAGCAGCAGCCACGGAGGGTATGACACATGAAAACCCTCCCATTTTGCATGGGGCAATTTGCTCCATGCATCTCACTCACTTCAACTGCTAGCTCCTAAAAAAGGAAGCACACAAGTTTTCAACCCTTAAGGGTCACTTCCTTTGCGGGAATAAATCCTTAGACTTCATCTCCCACCTTGGAACCAATCCCATCTAGCAAGCTGCCAGCCCAGGGCCCCCCTCATGTGCTTTATCCACGGCTGCTCACATCGGGAGGGTTCTTCTGGTGTTCTAAGGAGGTCCTGATTAGCAGGGGAATCACACAGTGGAGAGAAAACATGGCTGCTTTCCTGCATGGATATGATCAATTTACCCCCTTTCCTGCATCCAGATCCCTTTATATTCACAAGCAACTGATGAATAGAAGTTATTCCTTTTGATTTGTTTTTATGAAAGGAGGGAATTTCCAAATCCATTCAAAAGAAAGTAACTATAAAATTTATGGTAGGACATGAATCACCTGGCACCTTCTACTCAAGACCCAGTGAGGCAAACCTAGTAATCTGTTCCTGCAGTAAGCCTTATTTCCTACAAGAGGAAAGAAGTATGGACACCAATAGTTTAAAAGCAAGTCAGTCCTTGATACATGCCTCCCATTCAGGGGAATGTCTGTGGTCTGCCTTCATCGTTGTTGCTGGACTGCACCTGAGCTTGGAGTTGGGTTTCTGAGATTCTTGCATTGCCCTGCACTGTTCTTTGAGTGTAAAAAAGGATGTAGGCCTGGGTTTTGCACACTTCCTCGACACTGCATACATTCAGCTTTGAGTCATTGCAGTGGACCCAAAAACCTGGGAAACCAAAGGAGAGAAAGAGAGAAAATGACTACCCAACTTGTATTTCCAGTGAGCAGGCAAAATCAGGAGATGAAGAAAGGGACAGAGGAGTTCCGAATAGAGCCAACCTTGATTACTGGTGGTGGGGGAAGGGACAAGGAAATGAAACCAACAGAATTCTCTGTAATCACTGGCTTTAACCCCACCACCATACTACAGGCTGGTCTCAAACAGTATCAACTGACTGTAATTTTTGTCCTCGTCTTACTCAGGCTTTTTCATTGTCCATTAGGGCCTTCTACAAAGACAGCCAGGCTATTTCAGGCTAAGCAATAGGAAGGGGAGGAGAGGAGAAATGGAAATGGGAGTGATAAAGGAAAATTTAGAAGGAATAAAAAAGTATTTGTTCACAGGCCCTGGCTACCCCAAGGGCAGAGGGGTTCAAGAATAGTGCTCTGCTGAAAACACACGTTGCAGCCCACCTGCCTCAGTGCAGTAGCTGGGAGGCTCCACTCTGGAGGACGAGGACTGAAGTCTCCTTTGAAGGGGCCCTGGCATCCTTGCATCCCCACACTTCCCATGGTAAGGGAAGCAGTAAGGATAGAGTAAGTGCTCAGTAAATGTTGTCAGCTTTATTATGAGCTCATGCTAGTGAGATTCATACAATACCTCCATGTTACACAGGTACTTTTGTTTCTGCATAACCAAGAAGGAAAGTGAGGTCTGCAGAAGTAGCATTACTACAAGCAATAGTAATGCTATAGCTAACCAATGCTATCAATAATACTACAATATCCTCCAACACTGACTGAGCAAGCACTATGTGCTAGGTGCTTTTCTAAGCACTTTTACGTGTCAGTTCCTTTTCATTCTTAGAACGATCATATGCTGTTACTTAGTGATATATCCAAAATTTGAATCCAACTTTCACAATTCTTGCTACTGGATTTTAATGTATGTAATTTCCTTCTAGGTAATCCATGGGATGGAAATAAAAGAAAAGCAATAAAATGTGGACAAATCAACCCTTTTTTGTGTCCCCCGCCCCACAGAGTAAAGCGCACGCACCTCCCTCTGTGTTGTAGCAATAGGCTGTGTAGTGTCCTGAGCCAAACCCTTTCCCGTGATGCATGACCACTGCGGAGAGATCATAGGCAAAGGTCTCTTTGTCAAGAGAGGAGAGCATGTCCCTGCAGCAGTAAGGTTCCATGGTTAATACCTGGTCAAAGACGACATGGACCCCAATCTTCTCTCGATGATTACGGCCAGACCACCTAGAACATGGATATAAACTTCTTACTAATAAAAACTTGTATATGCATTCAGAGGTAGAGGCAGGTAAAGCAGAGAACCAAGAAAACTTAACTTCTGGCTTTGGTTTTCCCATCAACAAAATGGTGGTGATCAATGTCCACATATATTTGCTATGAATGTTTCACAAAGCACTCTGAACCTAGAGATCCTTAAACAAGCAATTCAGGCAACAATCTTTTTGTAGTTTACTGTTTGCCCTTCTTTTCACAGATTACTTTACACTTCATCCTGAAGATGGATCTACATAAGCCCAAGCAAGGGTAGACATTTTTTCTTTTCTTTTTTTTTTAAGTACAGACAGGTGCTCATTCTGTCACTCAGGCTGGAGTGCAGTGGTGCAATCATAGCAGTCCCCATCTCCTGGGCTCAACTGATCCTTCCACCTCAGCCTCCCAAGAAGCTGAGACTATAGGTGCATGCCACCATATCTGGCTAATTTTCTTTTAAACTTCTTTTTGAGACAGGGTCTTGCTATGTTGCCCAGGCTGGTCTCAAACTCCTGGCCTCAAGCGATTTTCCTGAAGAAAATCTTTCAAGCACAGACAACTAGTACAGGCTAGACAATTAAACAGGGCCGTGAGAACAGAAGCCAAGTCCTGCTGGGCCTCAACATCAACATGCCTTACTGGATATGAACCATTTTATCTCCATGGGAAGCACGACATCTCAAGGGAATAGGCTCACCATCCTAACATCAAAGAAGACATTTGTTCACAACAAAGCCTTTGAAGCAGCTATTCCCATAGCTCACAGCCATCTGGGACTCCCAGAGCATGCTCACCTGAATCTTTTAAGGTGCAGCCGGAGGACCTGAGGTAGTCTGTAGATCATTAACTGCTTTCTAGCTTCACTCAGAACAAGGGGTTTTGGATTGGATTTTCGTCGTTTGCCTATATGGTTTGGGAAAGTATAAGACAGGTTGTGAGGAGTCACATTCTTTTCTAGCTATGGCAGAGACAATGACTTGCCATTCAATATGCATTCTCTTTGTTTCTCAATATGTGAACCTCAATTTTATTTGGGGCAGCAATGTGACCCTCTGTCAGACTGCATTTCCCAGCTTCACATGCCTGCATGGTATGGCCATGGGAGTTCTGGTTAAGATGAAAGGAATGACTGTGTGGCATTCTTGGGATGGGTATTGAAAAGGGGCTGACTCAGTTGTAAGGTGCATCCCTTTGTCCTTCTCACTGTCTGCAACTGCTGGAATTCCTCTTGGACCACAAGGCGACCTTGAGGATGGAAGCCTTGCACTAGGATAGTAAAGCAAAAAGATAAAAGGAGCTTGGGTCCCTGATGACCACGTAGCCACCATGCCAGCCCCTGAATGTCTTTCAGACTTCTTTTATATAACAAAAATAAAATTATATCTCATGTTAAGTCACTGTTATTTGGGTTGAGTGTTACATGCAATCATTCAAGCCATCTTTCAAACTTTTGCCATCGGCAACTTCTAAAACTGGTATGGATTTACAATGGTACATTCCTGATAGCATGGCTTTATTAATAGAATATAATGAATGGTCACTGCAACAGCATGCACACAGAATAGAAGCATATGTTAGGGTTCTAGGCCTTTATATATGGGCTTATAAATTATGATATATCATAATATAACTTTAAAAAGCTTCTTGTTTTCACTAGATAGGCCTAATTCTGTTTCCTGCTCACAGCTAGTTGTGTGCTAATGCAGTGGTTCCCAACCTTTTTGGCACCAGGAACCGGTTTCATGGAAGATAATTTTTTTTCCCATGGATGGTGGGGGGGATGGTTTCAGGATGATTCAAGCACATTACATTTATTGTGCAGTCAAACCTCTCTGTTAATAATAATCTGTATTTGCAGCTGCTCCCCGGCACTAGCATCACCGCCTCTGCTCCACCTCAGATCATCAGGCATTAGATTCTCATAACCTAGATCCCTTGGAAGTGCAGTTTACAATAGGGTTCGTTCTCCTATGAGAATCTAATGCCACCACTGATCTGACAAGGAGGTGGAGCTTATGTGGTGATGCTAATAATGGGGGGCAGCTGTAAATACAGATGAACCTTCACTCACTTACCCGCCACTCACCTCCTGTTGTGCGGCCTGGTTCCTAACAGGCCACGGATCAGTTGTGGTCCATGGCCCGGGGGTTGGGGACCACAGTGCTAATAGATAAGTTATTTAAAACTCTGAACCTCAGTTTCCTCACCAGTAAAATAGGGAATAATGTATATATTTCAGGCTTAGGAAAAAGATAAAAAGGATAAGATTACTAAAGGACAGAGTATTTTTTTGTTTGTTTTTTCTCCTCAAATCACAGGACAGAGTATTTAAACAGATTTTTTTCCAGTATGATTAGTTTATAGCATATTAGAAAATATTTAGGAAATGAACTTTGCTGGTTCTATATTTTTATGCTGTACCTAGTTTTTGAAATGTTTCTTGGATAAAAGCATACTGCTAGACATGCAGGATAAAGCTGAGAGGTGTCTAAATTCACCCAGTCCAGAGCAGAACCAGTGCTTAGACTCTAATTTTGTTTCTGTGGGAGAAATGCATTTCTAAATTTCAGCAAATAAACCATGGAAATAAAGTACTCTTCATTTCCATTGGAAGACTTCTCTATAACCATTTACTGGTAACTGTTCTGTTATTATATTAATTATATTGGTAAATGGATGGGAATATAAAATGAGTGGTCCACTATAGTGTCTGCTAATTGTCTTTGAGCTGTTGATACCACGGTCTCAGTGTCTGAAGAGCTTGGCATCTGATTCCAAGTCCCGTCTGTACCACTTGTGAAAGGTAGCAAATCACAGCCAGATGACGTAAAGAGCTTTCTGTGACAATAGGATGTGGAGGTGCTGCTTCTCATAATAAACTGCATCAGAATGAGTGTGCCATAGGAGAAGCTTTTACTACGGTGTGCAGTCACAATATATGGGGGCATGAACAGAATTCAAAGAGGGGCCTGGCCTTATTTTATATTCCTATGCACCAGATTTTTGAAAATTACTGCAGCTTTGCCTGAGAACCCTGGCAGTGACTGCCACCCTCAGCAGAGGGAGTACGTGAGCTAAAATGAAGACAATATAGAATCTGGCTTTGTTTCCCTAAAATGGAATTCACAAAGAAAAAGGAATTATTGATTCAAATGAGATTGATCAGTTCTGTCTCGATTTGATTATGCCGGCCACACAGAGAGATAAAAGACTGACAATTTTTAAACTTCACAGGCAACAGATCAATGCATCTCATCCCTTCACCATAGCTTTCCTTTCCTGCCATTATTTGCACCTGCCTAGAGAAATCCTGATAAACTGGCACTTCTGGCAACCAGAAAAACAACCCTTTCTTGTAAAAATAAATACAAGTATTTCTTGCCTAATCTATCATATCCAAGAATGGTGGAGTTAAAGCTGTTAATATACTTTTGTTACTTACAAGTAAAAGGCTTTATGAATCACTATTGGGAAAAAAACCAAAACCAGATCCTTCTCCAATGAAACAAACTAACTCACCTGCCTCTGTATCTCAAAATGGAACAGGACAGGGGGCTCTATAGTAACCAAGTACACCACTTCAAATTTTATTTTAAAATGGCAAAAAGCATGACTTTTGATTTTTATTCTCATTCTTCAAAGAGCAGTACAGGTTTCCCAAAATTTACTAT